TGGGGGGCAGCCTCTGCGCATGTGTGGCCAGTACGAGTACTGCTATGAAAAGTCTCCGAGTGAAGGCGCAGGGACGCACCAACACCTAGAGTGGAGCACCCACAGGGACATCTCTCGAAGAAGAACTATCACTGTCTTCAATGGAGCCAGGATTTCAGTTCATGTATCTTAATCGCTTCATGGCAGATGTCTGTTGCCTCACTGTAAACCCCACACAAGCACATTTTACAACATTTTTACATCTTTGTATTTTTTGTTCTCTAGTAAGCCTAACAAATGTTAATTGTTGCCCCAAGACCAATGAAGCACAGCATCACACAGTATCCCACATTATTTTAAAATGCTAAAATAAGCAAGTATTTGTCCTATTCAAATTGACACAGAATTGGTCATTAATACAGGAAATACAAAAGGAAAGGCTCACGTTGTGACACTACTATTTCAGTATTCAGTCTCAGTTCTGCTGCTTACCTTTACCGTGGCTGGTGTAACATACACCTCACTGGGATCTGCCTTGAGAGGAGGATTTTCTCGAAATATTCCAGCACATTTGGAGTTCTTCGCTGATCTCCGTAGAGAATTATCTATTCTCTACAAAACAAAGAATGCAATTAAAGTTCAGAGAGAACGGCAGTTCTGAGAACTAAGGTTGGTGGCAATGGGGTTTTCATCAGCAAAGCCAGGTTTTATAAATGTTATATTTGGTGTTGACTCTACCTCCTTCACATCTGCTTCTACAGGCATCAGATCAGGCTTACTGTTAGAAAAGAGCCCAGCAAACTGTAGAAGCTGCCACAGAGATGTTGAGACCTGGTCCACATAAGTGTGAATGGGAAAGGTACTGGTCTATGCAATTGTAAACAGAAGGAAAAACTGTCCATGAGAAATTCTCTCTATTGAGATGTGATCCATACGGTGACAAATTTAACAATTGCAGTCTTTAGTTTAACAGAAATAACATAGGCTGAAAGAATCTGAACTAGACACAAGGACTCAGCTTTTGCTTTTACTTAACCGATCAGTTTTTAATTACAGTTCTAGAATGCATAATTTAGCCACTGATATACATACACTCCCTCTGACACCTCAACACCCTCCACCCCCAAGATTTTACTAAAGCTATTTTTAGATGACCTAACAAAGGGTTATTAGCATATTAGTAATAGTATGGCACTGTGTGAAATGTCACTCCAAAAACATGCCACCTGAGGCGGTTATGTACTTCAGTTGATAATGAATCAGTTATTTTTAATGAAATCACAGCGTGTCACATTTTATACCTGAAAATTGTCAGGAAAGGAAAATATAGAAGGACAACTCCCTTCCTTTAAAAATTTCTTTCCATTAATTTCTTTGAAGCAGCCAGGATTAAAATGTTGAGAACAAATCATATCCCATTCAGATGGTGTCCAGAGTTTGCCACTCACAGGGTCAGCCCGATGTACTGCCTGGGCCCACTGCTGTTTTTTCTTATTATCCTTGGGAAACCTAAAACAGAAATAACAAAGTTCACAGATCAAAGAACATCAGCTGGGTTTTGTTTAGTAATTATACTTTACTTAGGGGTGTTGTTACCCATACAGGCCACTACAGTCAATGGGACAACTCAGATGCTTAAAACTGTGCACTTACTTAGTACCTTGCTGAGTTGGGGCCAGAGAGAAACAGCATGGTCCAGTACATAGTGCATGGCCTGGGAGCTGGGGGACCTAGATTCTATTCCCAACTTTCCAACTGACTACACTTTTGCCCTTGGGCAAGTGACTTAAATCTCTGTGTCTCAGTTTGCCCCTCTGAGAACTAGGGATAATAATGCTCACCTACATTTGTAAATCACTTTAAGAATCGGGGGGAGGAGGGGGAAGAGAAGCTAAAATATTACAAAGTATTTAGTGAGGATGACAGCTCAATTAAATAAAAACTAAAAAGAACATACTGGGTTATCCACTGGGTTTGAAAAGAGAAGGTACTCCGGGAGAAACACAAATCTCCTTATTAAAATGTCCAGTTGGATAAAAAATTAGAGTGGAAGAAGTAATGTACGTACATCTTCTAAGTTCACTAGATACACTGTAAGACTCTCACAACACAATCTCACATGTTCTTTGTAAATGGTGAAATTCTCATCACTTAGACATTTTAAATGGACTGGACAAAGCACTGAAGAGTATACTGCAGAAAACAATTGCTCATTAGCTTCAGAGAATTTACTAGATGACCTAATAGGCTTATTTCCATTTCTTAGTTTCTGTGATATGCATGTCACATTCACAAACCCAGTTCTACTTAATTTCACGCCACTCAGTTCCCAGAAGCAGCACAGACTCCACATACAGAGAATCAATTATGCTTTTAAAATCGTATAATAATTTTCAAGGATTCCAAGGTAGAAATAACAACGTTAGTGTAGATGATGCTCTACTAAAAATTCATAGACCAGGTGCCAGCTAGGAGAAGGTTTCCATCTAACTCAGACTAGGGCAACACAATGGACAATACAAAAGCATAAAGGTTTGGTGCACAATTGGTGAGAAGGAAGATAGGAACGCTTCATGAAAGGAGTGGATTTTTGGAAGGATCTGAAAGAGGCAAAGAAGGGTACATGATGCTTAGGAAGTAGGAGGTAAAGGCAAGGACGATGGGTGTTATATTCTCCCAGCTGTGTGCATATGACCCAAATTACTGGTAAACAGAGATAGATGTATAATTTTCTGAAAAATACTTGCAATATGCTTGACAATGGTTGCTTTGGCCTTCAGAGGGTAAAAAAGTTTGAAGACCATATTTTAAATAATTAAATTAATAAAATATCATTTATAAATCATTTTTGGGTCAGGATGAGTCACCAAAATGTGGAAAATAGCATGGTCTGGTACTAGAATGAGTGCTTAGAGAAGGGGAACGAGCGTCAGGAGACCATAGTTCTAGTTCAGACAGTGCCACTAACTCACTGTCTAGCCTGTACAGCCAAACATTCAAAGGCAGCCTTCATCTTCAGAGATGTTGAATACCTAAAATTCTCATTTGAGCCAATAGGGGTTTCTGCATTTGAAGTCTTAAATCTCTAAAGCTGAGCACCCAAAAATTACGGCAGCCAGAAGCAGAGGCCACTTCTGAAAATGCGGGCGTTAGCCTCTCCACTGCCCCGGGCTTCATCCCGTGTTTATAAACCAGAGATAGTAACAGTTCCCTTCCTCAGGTAGTTTATTGGGAGGCTACAATTAATGAGAGTAAGTAATACACAGTACAAAACTAAACACAACTCGTCATACATTAAAATCTCAACTAACCGGTACTAACCCTCACTTCTCTCCCACGGCCCTTCCCATCTTTTTGTCTGTCATTCATGGCCTCTTTCCTGTGCACAATTCCTCATTAATATCATTGAACACATGTCTTTTGTTTTAATTTAAACAACATTTTGTATTTCACCTATTGGATGTTACTTTAATCATGTCGCTGCACTGAAAGCCAGGACCACAATTTCCAGTGCTGACTTAGCTGTGCTGCTGCTGTTTTGTATGCTGAAATGACACTCCTCAATCAGTGCTCCTTACCAATTCCTGACAGGAAGTGCTGCGTCCAATTCATCAGCCAGGAGGACAGGCTTGCAGTGGGGTAGCTCCTGGCATCAGCCTGCCACTCCAGAATACTAGGCTTGTGAGAAGGTTTGCTTGGTCAAAATACTTAGAGGGTGAAATCCCTACTGAAATCAATGGGAGTTTTGCCCAAGATTCCACACAATATCTGTAGTACCTGCAGTCAGAATTCACTGATACCCAGGATTGTCAGGCTCACCTATGAAAAGTTATTCCCTGCTTCCGATTTAACTTTGTGTCTGCATTACTGCAGTTATATGCTGCACAATACTTCACCATGATAGTCCCCCTCAGAGATGGTTACTGCATTCAGTGCTGTAATGAGAAGAGAACAGATGTTGAACATGAGATCACATTTAGAGGTAACATCTGCTGAAAGGACATCAATGGATAGTTTCTGCAGTACATTTCCAACTGGAAGGCTGAAAGTAGAAGGGAGAATGAGAAATAATAATAATAATAATAATAATAAATAAAGCAAACTACCTTCTTCCTCCACATGATGTGATATAAGTATGCTAAAACAAGTACTGTATTGATATATTCCTGTATGCTGATATTATGGACATATGCTTTACTCAGTTAAATGCAGTAATTCATGTTTTGTGTGTAAATGATCATGCATAGTCACTAGGAAAAACAGCCATGTTTATTATTAAAAGAAAAGAAAAATAGCTTACTATCATTCTGAAAGCAGATAATACAGTGGGCAGTCATATCAAGACATCATTAATATCATTGTGCTGTACTTAACTGAAATTGTGACAACTTTCCACATATATATTTTTTCCCAATAGAGTGTATTCAATAAGAATAACCTTCATTACTTTAAACAGGTCTGCAGCAGCACCTGAAATTTGCATCTCAGAAAAACAGCTACAATGGCATTTGCAAGGCAGCCAAAATGTCAGAACAGCATTCTCAAAGTTACATCACAGTAGCCATACAAATCCATAATTACTGCTCAACTGAGAAAGAAAAAAAGAAAGAAAGAAAGCTGAGAAATTAAATTAGCACCATAATCGGGGATGCTGGCACAGAGGTGCCAGTTTCTATAGGCAAGGCAACTACACAAACAGAGAGCGGGTGTACTGTGAAGTGTTAACCTATAAAAGAAGTGCAGCAAGTTATAAAATAAACACAGGAAAAAAATAAATAAAAGCAAAACTGAGGAGGTTGTTTTCTTTGTGTGCTCAGTGCTGAATTTGTGGTTTATTTGTTATGGAAAGTATTGTACCTCCTTAGCATAAACAGTCGCAGTGAGGCAATTAAAGAAAGAAAAAAAAACAAAAAACAAAAAAACAGTTTCCTGCCAAATATGGCTTCAAAACAAACCTATAGCAATGTGACATAATCCAACACTTCATCTCTCTTACAAACAGATAAGAAAAAACGTATTTCAAAGATTGCAGTTGGCTTTGTTATAGTGGAACAGTACACTGAGTATTTAATACCTGGAATGTATTTGCCACAGTTTTATAGAAAGTGGCATCATCCCTCTGGCTAAAATTGAACAACTAATTTTATAATTCAAGAGTCGTTTACTCAGCAGTTGGAAAAGTCATTCTTTGGACAAGTTGGAATGTGTTCCACGATAACCGCATTAAGCAAACACCTATTCAAAGTAAATATTAACAGGGCTTCATTTAATGCAGGAGAAAATGCCAGATCACATTTTTATTTTCTTTAGAAGGTTGAAGAATGCAACCCTTGAATACAGGAAGACAACTATATCAGTTTTGCATAATCAGGCCTGAATCTGCAAAAAATCAGGTCAAGTTCTAAAAAGATATGTCAGAGAAGAGACACAGCACAAATTCCTTTTGTTTTAGGGCCTGATCCAATGCCCACAGAACTTAATGGCAGTCCTTCCACTGACTTCTCTGGGCACTGATCAGGCTTCTCATCTTTAGACATTTGTTATTACTAGACTATATTTCTTACAAGTTTCTTCTTATACAGAAACCAGAAAAGTAGTACTTTGTACATATAATCTTTATTCACGCTTAAAGGAAAAATATATATTATAGAGCTTTCTTAAGGGAACTATTATCAATGTCTAAAATTATCTGAAATATCAAGGTGAATTAGCACAACATGAACTGAAACACCGAAGAAACTATGTCAGCAAGTCATACACTTTGTTCTTAATTCTATTACTTTTATATTGTGTAAGAGGATTGCATATAAATTTAATAATCAGACCTACTGAAGAGCTAACTCCAATCTAATTTGGAGACACACATGAAAAGATGGGGTTCTCTTCTTTCACCAAAGACATCATCATCTCTGTGATTAGGACAAGAAAAATATTACCATTAGGGTTATTAGCAAAGCTGATAACCACATTGTGCAATCAGTGTTCCCCTTTACAGCCCATTCAGTGAACTATATTTTATGGAGCTATACCTATCTCATAGAACTGGAAGGGACCTTGAAAGGTCATTGAGTCTAGTCCCCTGCCTTCACAGCAGGACCAAGTACCATCCCTGACAGATTTTTGCCCCAGATCCCTAAATGGCCCCCTCAAGGATTGAACTCAACCCTGGGTTTAGCAGGCCACTGCTCAAACCATTGAGCTATCCCTCCCCCCCAATAATATTCTAACACTCTTATCTGAGGAGGGACCAAGCAAAGGAATTGGTTAAAAACTGAGAAATAATAATTCAAAAGACAAAAAGAGGCAAGTTAATTTGTTATACAAGAATTATAATGCTGGTAATACACACTACTTTTGGAAATATCTCCCACTGCTATCTCAAGGAGGATGTTACAAAGTGAGTTGCTGATTCTCCTGGAGAGTAATAAAAGGCAGGAGAAGACTAAAACATCTGCAGAAATGTTATTTAAGGGACATCCCATCATCATACACAGTCTCTCCACAGGTGTACTTCTTTGGTTTTGGAAGCGGGAGTGACTGGGTGGGAAGAAGACAGGGCATGGGGAAAACTGTTCTCAGCAATATCACTGATGTATTTATTAATTTATTTCTTTTGATTTTTAAAGTGCTTAATGCAGACTCAGAGAACTTCACAATTAATTTAAACACTCTTTCAATGCAAAATGTACCATTCATTTAATAATAAAAAGTGAGACTAGACAGGGCAGGGATGGTGTCCCTAGCTTCGGTTTGCCAGAAGCTGGGAATGAGTGTCAGGAAATGGATCACTTGATTACTTGTTCTGTTCATTCCCTCTGGGGCACGTGGCATTGGCCACTGTCAGAGGACAGGATACTGGGCTAGATGGACCTTTGGTCTGACCCAGTATGGCTGTTCATAAGAGAATAGAGATTTCACTGAAGCATGGATGGGAAAATAGTGGGAGCATCACTCACTAGGGAGCTGTGCTGCCACAGAGGGAATCATGGGAAGTAATGGTGGTGGAAATGGCCTTCTATGCATATGTTTTGACCTGGAGTGGCTGCCCTGACATCCCTGGAATTATCTTTTAGCACTCAAGATGTCTTCAGTTTGGACAGGTAATGTCACCTGCCCACGCCAAAAGACCGGGACAGGGGCACAACCCATTTCCCTCCCACCAGAGGGAATTCTGTGGCCTTGAAGCTGTGGAATTTTCCATCTGATTTCCTTGTTGTGTGGAAGAGCACAATTTTCCCTAAGAGACTAGAATACTCTTCCTTTATCTGGCCTGAAATGGTTAACTCAAATTCATACAGACATTTACATACAAAATGATGCCATCATTAAACAGACTCTTATTGGTGGATAACTGTGCCCTGCATTTATAAATCATAAATCCTTGCTTCACTTACTGGTACTTCTTTCCTAGAGGCAAACACACAAACCAAGTCTGCATATTACATTTTTTCCCTCTTTCACTTGTCTCGGTTCTGCTACATAATCTCAATACAAATACTTTAATTTTCTAAATGTAATGTAAAGACCCTCTTGTATATTTACAAGCATCCTCCTGCATGTCACATTCTGGTGTTATGAATTGCTATCAGAGCTGTTTGGGTAATACCAAGTAGTTCTTAGAACCAAGCAATAAGCACATTGTCATTCAGGAAAGAGGCATGCAGCGCAAATCTTCAAAACTAGACAGAAACACAGCACAAGAGAGGGAATTTAAAACTATGTTTATTTCTGTAAACAAGGAGAAAACCTTTTTTGGTAGCATCTATGAAGCATGAGGAGCAAGTCTAATCTAGATGTGAAGATTCTATAGTTCAAGGTCATTTTGCTTTTGGAGAAAAGGGGTACTGAGAATGCCATGTCCTCTGCTGTGACTGGTGCACTGCTCTGTAATCTGATGCAATTGCACTGCTCTTTGTTAATTTAGAAACGAATCCTGCCCTCCCCGACCCCACCTCCCATGGGGCCCTGGACAGAGCAGAACAAATGTGGTTCTATTCCATGGATGAGTCAGGATTCCCTGTGCCTGCATGGGGGATTCAGACCCTATACACACAATGGAATTTAGCTCTGTGTAGGCTCCCTGCATGGAGGATGGGTTTACATGGAATGAGATTGGAGCATTCAAGGCTGAAATGCATGAGGGGAGGCAGGCAGAGCATCTGTGTGACTTCAATAGTGGCCACAGAGAAGGCCCACATCACATCTCCCCTGCACATATGCCCTGTATTGTGATAATATGCACATATGCCCCTGATAATGTGGGAAGAAGATTTTGATCTCACTGTCACACTATGTTTTCTAGAGAATCAAAAGTAAATCTCAGCATTTTACAACAGAAAACATCACAGCTGCACTTAAATAGACACTTCCCTTTTTACACTGATTTATATTACCGTTCATTTAAAATCTGCCCCTTTGGATAGCTGCTCATTGACTTTAATTAGCTTATATCTAATAACCTCAAAACACGGATGCATTAAATATTGGCAGAGTTAAATGTGTTTGAGAAAAAATGTTCTAGCTTTCACAGTTACAAGTGCTATGTGATATCTATTCAGATGGATCATATATTTATCATTATCTTCTTCAAATCTTTAAATACTTCATTATTTCATATGTGTTAGTGGAGATGGAACCAAACCCTCTCCAAAATCTTTGGTAGCTCAGGAATAAGAAGGGAACTCCCCATTCGAGGCTCTTGGCTTGGGAATTTGCTTCCCTCCTTGGTCCACCGCTGCCTAGATTTGGCACCATTCCAGGCATGCTGCAAAGCCCAACTTAGCTTGCAGGCATCCAGGTTGGGAGCTCATATCTGGAGGGGCTGTAAAATGAAGAACAATTTAGATGGGGTCTCATAAGATGGCAGCCTAAAGTGGCTTTAGTTTTTGTGGGAGAGTCTGTTAAATAGAACATTTGTAATTGGAAAAACTGATAAACTAAAACATTGTATTGAACATTTTAGACTTCTTGCGAGTTCTGTTTTGGGAGGTGCTTGGTGCTCTGGTTCAGTATGGTGGGTTTTGCTCTTTCCACAACAAAAACAATATGAAGAAACAACACAGCACAGCTGGATCCCAAATGACAGTTTAAAACCTTGCTACACCCATACCTCTGCTCTGACTGGTTTTTGGTGGCTTCTGAAAACATGTAACACAGTGAGTACCACTGAAGGGCTCACAAACTCTTTCAAGAGATACTAACCTATTCGGATGCACTACATTTGGTGCTACAGGCTTTAACAAAACAATAAAAATAATTTTGGAATGTAAAAATAAAAGCATTCCATATTATTGTGCTTTCTTAAAAAAAACAAGACAATGTAAAGCATCATGATTAAAGCCATTTTGGTGAATAACAACATTCCTAAACACCATGAATCCAAAACTACCACAGGTTCATAAAAATAAAAACAAAACACACCTGAAATGTTTTTGACAAAACCGGGTTCGAAATGTATCTAGTAGTTCATGATATTATGTAACAAAAGTGCACGGTACCTATTGTAATACACACCCAAGCAAGAAGTAATCGTATGCAAAAAATTCCAAATCAAAACAATAAAAACCTTAATATAACACTAACTTTAGATTTTAACCACAAAGAGATGGATCTTGATTTTCATATACACTAAGGCCCTTTTATGCCACTCTGGCAGAATAAATGGGCCTAAAAGACAAACATAATTACATTTATACTCACTTTAAAGAAGTCTTAGACCGCATCTACACTGCACACTTTGGTCGATGCAAGTTATGTTGGCAGACAGCCACCAAAACTTGTATATTGCTTGGGCGTGTACACACATGGCTTGCATTGGCACTGCAGGTACTCAGCAAGAGCGCGTCGATGCAAAGTGTAGTGCACCGCAGGTAGGTATCCCAGTGTGTCACATGCTGCCATCTGGTGCAATGCCTTTTGGGAAATTTTCACAATATGTTGCGGATAGAAATGACTTGCCCAGTGATCTCTGGATGCAAGGATCAAGTTCCCAGCATGCAACTTGCTGAATTTCCTAATGCCATCCATATCCCATAATTTTCATGCCTTTTTAAAAAAAAAATCCCAGAAATCTGTACAGCACTTTTCAGTATCCGCCATCTCTCAGAAGCATGGAGCCTGCAGAGCTCTGCGCTGTTCTCATGAATGTTGCAAATATAGGATGCTCGATTCTCTTTTATTTGGAAACCCACAGAAGTACAGCAAGAATGGGGGACATGACAATTTCTTCGAGCACAGCTTGCTAAGGGACATAGTGAAAAACAATTCAAGGTTGTGGGTGGTGTTCACAAAGCAGCTGCAGATGGTGGAGCATTACTTTTGGGCCCCAGAAACAAACACTGACTGGACAGGTTTGAGACAAGTGGATGCGGAGGCCACATTCCTGGATCTGTGTACCATGCTCACCTCAGCTCTCCAGTGCAGTGACACCAAAATGAGAACTGCATTGACAATGGAAAAACAAGTAGAGATCAGTCTCTGGAAGTTTGCAATGCCGGACTGCTACCAGTCAGTGGAAAATCATTTTGCAGCTGGAAATTCCACAGTGGAGGGGCCGCCATAATGCAAGTATATAGGGCCACTAATCGTTTCCTGTTATGGAGGACTCTCAGCAATGTGCAGGACTTAGTGGATGGATTTTTGCAACAATGGTGGTTCCTGAACTGCAGTGGGGCAATAGCCGTATTTTGGCACCTGCCCACCTTGCCACAGAATACATCATTAGAAAGGGCTGCTATTCTATGGTTATGCGAGTGTTGGTGGATCACTGGGTATACTTCACTAAGAACAATGTGGACTGGGATCAGGGAAGGTGCATAACACTTGCATCTTTAAGATCACAGGACTACTCAGAAAGCTGCAAGCCTGGACATTCTTTCCCGACTGGCAGATTACCATCAGCAATTAAAATGCCAATAGTGATGCTGAGAGACTCACCCTACTCCTTTCTCCCCTGGCTCATGAAGCCCTGCACTGGTCACCTTGACAGCTCCAAGGAGAGATTCAGCTACTGGCTCAGCAGGTGCAGAATGGTGGCTGAATGTGCTTTTGGTAGACTGAAGACACTCTGGAATTGTTTACTTGCTAGCTGGATGTCAACGAGAAAAATATCCCGACAGTTATAGCTGTTGTGTTCTGCATAATATTTGTGAGGCAAAGGGGGAAAAGCTCCCGCCGGGGTGGAGCTGGAGCAGCCAGACACAAGGGCCATTACAAGAGCCCATGTGGGGCTATGCAGCTGAGGGAGGCTTTGGAAGAGCACTTTAGCGGTCAGCCACAGTAGCATTTGGTGCAGGATTAGTCTTTGGAGCTGGAGCTTTGGGTGCTGCTATAAATATGACTAGGTGTTTTCCTGAAGCTATGAATTACGTGGTGCTTGCTGGACATTAACAAGTACTGTTTGCTTTGAGTACTGATATGCATTCTACAATATGTACTGTGAACTAATAAAGAATTTTATTCTCCAAAAATAGAACTTTACTGAGTGGGAAAAACAGTGCAGAAAAACAATGCAAAAAACCAAAACAAAGGCAATGTAATACAAAATTCTAACAAATTAATGGAGTGGAATTTTATAATTGGAAAGGCAGCAAACATTTCTGTCCACTTCCGTGCACAAGTGTAGTCCGTTGTGGCTACACATACACCAACCATGGTTCTGTGAAGCTGTGGTTTTCCTTGCTGTTCCTGGCGAGGAATGATAGGGATAAGGATGTTCCCCTTGATGCTATGTGGTATGTTGGGAAGTGCAGGGAGCAGAAACCAGGGAGTTCTCCAAGGGCTGAAAAGGTGGAGCGTCTAACATTTTTGGATCTATAGGTCAACCATGTGCTGCAGCATTTGGGTTTGCTGCCTGAGAAGTCTCATTATGTCCTGGTGCATTTCCCTCTCTTTGTCCTGCTGGGGTTCCTGGGCCTCTCTCTTGTCCTTTCTTTCCTTCTTTAGGCTGTCAATCATATTGGCCCTCCAAGCTCTTTGTTCATAGTCGGATACAGCACTGGCTTGTAGGATCTCACTGAACATGTCTTCCCTAATCCTCTGCTTTCTCCTCCTCATCAGGGTCAGATGTTCTGCAAGTGTGGAATGGGGAAGCACCACACCAGTAGCTGCTGGTTAAAAAAAAAAAAAAAAGAAAGAGAGAGAGACAGATGTACCACTGCATTTACAGTCCCAATGGAAATGGAAAGATAAGTTTCACAACTCAATTCCCTTATGCCCATAAAAATGTTTAGTAAATAATGCTTATTGACACTTCAGCTTTGGAGCACCTTGGCACAGCACTGCTCTCCAGCCACAGGCATAGTTAGCATGGTCTGCCAGGGTGGGGAGGTGGCGGGGGAGGGGGAAAGAGAAGGTACTTTGGTTGCATGAAGCAAGAAAGTGACATTTCAGTCCCTGTTCCCGTGGATCTGAGTATAGGGCAGTGGCACTGAATACTGGAACTATTTTCCACAGGTCCTGTTGGTTTTGGCTGATATCTCATATCCAAAGGCACAGAGAACACAATTGCTACTGGCATTCTGAAGCTGCCTGGGTCCACATGACACTAGCCTGTTTACTGCAATGATGCCAACCAAAGTAATCACAGAGTGGTGTGGGAAAGTGTCTTCCTGCGGAGGAAGATATAAGGCAGCCATCCCCAGATACCTTCAGAAGAGGATTGCAGAGAATCTCCACAAAAGTTTCATAGAGATCTCTCAGAAGGATACAAAGGACAACCCTATGTACATAAACAAAGTGCTGTGCATCCCCTGCCCAACCCAACGGGAATGAGAACCAGATGCCAACTTTACCTGTTTGTTGTACCTTTACTTCTTCTCATATAAGTAAATGAATGAAAAGTTGATACCTTTATCTTGTTAACTTGGGGATGGGCCAGGTGCCATATTTAAATTTAAACACTGTAAGGAAAATGCTTGCACGCACTTACTCTCTTTCCTTCATCAGGCTCATCCATGCTCACTTGGTGGGGCTGGCTAGACTGTGGTGGTGTCTGGCTAGAATGTGCCACGGGGTGTACCACCCCCTCTGCTTCCTCCTCTTCCTCACCGTTCACAGCAGAAGTCTCTGTCTCAGGCTCCTCTGAGGTATCCATAGTAGTCTGTGGGATGCTGATGGGGTCTCTGCCAAATATGGCATGCAGCTCATTGTAAAAACAGCAGATCTGCAGGGCACCACCAGATCTATTGTATTCCTGGCCAAGTTTCTTTGCTTTCATGCAGCCCTACTACTGATCCCTGTCATATCCCTTTGCCAGCATCCCCCATGCAATCTATTTTAGATGTCCATATTTCTACAACTGGTCTATAGCTGTGCTTCCCACAGCCAATTCTCCCCACAGGGCCAGGAGATCCTATAACTTCTGTCTACTCCAGGCAGGAGCACATCTATTATATTGTGCCGGAACAGTTGATTGGGCAGTTGCATACAACAAGGAAGAGCTGCTAGGTGTGCTCACCAAGGTAGGCAATCAAGAAAAGGCATTTCAAAAACATGTGTGGGGCTTCCAAGTAGGGGTAGTTTCCAGGATCTGTGACTTCTGGGCAGTTAAATTTGCAATTGTGAACAGAGTGTTACTGTTATAGAGAATGGGGCATTGTGGGACAGCTGCTGGAGGACTGTTAGGGTTGATACAGATCATGCAATATCTACACTCACACTGCACCAACCTCGGTAGGTTAATGATGGTTCCATGCTGTTCGGGGAGGTGGTTTTACTGTGTTGATGTAACGGGGCATTTACATTGGCTGGACACAAAGTTGAGTATAGCCATGCACAAATAGGTCAACGCAAGGGGACTTACTTGGTAGCGCAGACCAGCCCTAGTGTACATGACACTTGTATCTGTGCAATAGAGTTAAAGTCTCATATTAATATTAACTCTGATCTAATGCAGATGAAGAAAGTAAACACACCACAATGCTACATGCCCCTAAAAACACTTGAGATGGAACACTATTTTAATGTCTAATATATTACATGATCAAATAACATTCATCTATGTAATAAATATGGAACACTACTGTATATACCTTTCCATACTGTATATATGTACATCTATGGCTACAGACAACAGCTCAGCTATGTACGCCATATTATTTGCCAAATAGTATGTCCTGTTATACAGTATTGTGTGATTCTGTAACTCAAGACCCTGTCACAGTATACAAGTCCAAGGGGGCAGAGGCAAAGTTCCTGTGAAAGTGCCAGCTCTTGCCAACGCTTTAGGCGTCAGCTGAGCATTGACAAGTTTGTACATAGAAACCAAACCAACTTACCTGTATGTTAGTATTGTTCAAAATAGGTGTTGAAGATGTGTTAGTGTTTAGACTCGAAAATGCTGGTTAGTTGCTGCATGCATTAATCTTACTCGTAATGTCTGTATCCCATGCTATAAGGTAATATGTAGGTTTTGCTTTATAACTGTAAAAATGCCTGCTCTCAATTTGCAAACACAGACAGGAGGAGTGGTTCCCCAGCCCATCAAAAAGGACTATCAAAACTAAGTGGGCCACAGTGAAACATCATGATACAATGATGGGGTTAATGACCCTCTTACACCATGAAGGTGATATGTGCAAGAAAGCTCGTCCCATCAATTTGAGTTCTTGAAGAAGGAAATAAAGATAGTGACATAAAAATTCTTCATCTGTTTGCTGTTTGGACTCCCACAGGACTAGAGCTAAGAAACAAAAGCTAACCTGGGTTAGCCCTAAAAGACACACAGTGCTGACAGATAATTACTGCTCTGTCACCTTTTGGAACCATAGACAGTAACTCATTTGTGTATATATGTTCCCCGCTTTAACCTGCAAATAATTCACTCATTTCTTTTTCCTAATTAATAAATCCATAGTTAGTTTATTATATGATTGGCTACAATCATTGTCTTTGGTGTGAGATCTGAGGTACAAATTGATCTGGGGTAAGAGACTAGTCTCTTGGGACTGAAAGAAACCTGAATCTTTTGTGATCCTTGGTGTATATTGCAACCACTATTACTAAGTCCAGCTTTCCAGGGTGGCAAGATAGACTGGAGAGCCCAAGAGGACTGCCTGTGACTCCATGGTAAGACTTGTAGTGCTTCAGGAGTTCACATTTATTACTGGGTTGGTGAAATCTACTTATAGAACATACCTGAGGTCGACACGCATGGTCATGAACCACTCCAGACAGTCTGACACACATCTTTCATAATATTAATATCATAGCCTTAACAATACAACAAATATTGTTGCACATCACTTTTAAAAGAAAGAGTTTTAAAAAATATGAAAAACAAACAACAAAGGACAGATTATTGCTTGTTCTTAAGTACCATGCAGGACATCTAAGTAGGGCCATCCCTATGGCGGTGTGGGGCCCGGGACAACGCCTCCACCCGCCTTGGCCCCAGGCTCCGCCCCAACTCCACCCCTTCCTGCCCCTACTCCGCCCTGCCTCTTCCCGCCCCTGCTCCATCCATGCCCCCATTCCACCCCTTCCTCGAAGCCTCCGCCCTACCTCTTTCCAGCTTCCGCCCCCTCCTCCAAGCGACGCTGAGAGCTGGCGGGGCAGGGTCGCTCGCTGCTGCCGGCACCAGACCCCCCGCTAATCTCCCAGGCCACCGTGGACCTCACATCCCCCTGAAGCATAGGGACCTCAAAGTGCAGGACCCGGGGCGGTTGCCCCAGTCCATCCTATGGATGGGATGGCTCTGCATGTAAGTGGCCACTGTCAGAAGACAGGCATCTGGGCTAGATGGACCATTGGTTTGACCGGTATAGCCATTCTTACGTTATGTTAAAGCACGCTGCTACTCCTCCTGCCAAGCTAATTGGCTGGGATTGGGTGGAGCTTCTCCCCAACCCATTGGTCAACCAAGCTGGTTTGGAGTGAACTGGAGCAAATGCTGTGCACCGTAAAGGGCTGTAGGAAAAAAAAAATTCCCTCTCAGGAGCAAGGCAGAGACAGGAAAGGATGTGTGGATCTGAGCTGGAGTCAGTGCAACCACTCTATCTAGCCCCAATTCAAAAAAAGGCACACAAGACATATTTCTCAGAGGTCTTCCATGTCTTCTGACCAGGCTAGGGTGATGAACTATGTTTCAAAGAGCTAACGGATGGATGATTTAAAACATGGACACAGCTTCTTTTCAAGAAATAGCATACTAAATTTTGTTTGTATTACAAAATCATGCAACTCAACACAACTGGGGTATGATTTTTGCCAATATACAGTTAAAGTGCATTTGAGATTTAATAGCGGATGCAGCGCATTAGGAGCCCCAAAAGGAACATCCTTTAAAATACAAGCCAAGTGGTCACTCAGGACCAACCTTATAAGATAAGACAAGTTCCAGCTTGTGGCAGTAGGACTGAAAGCTAGTGATTTCTCAGGTTACAATTAATGCAAGAGCAGGACTCAGACCTATCTCTCTTATACAACATCATTATTAAACAAGATATTGTTATGGCAGAAATTTGTACAGTGCCTAGCACAGTGAGGTACTAGTCCATGACTGGGGCTCATGGGCACTATGGTAATATAAGTAATAAATAATAATAAAAATAATAATAAAAGTTACCAAATGTCACTGTCACACAATCTTGTAAATTATTTTTCTTTGCATATGATTGCTATACAGTCTGAAGAAATGCTATACTCGTATGTTTGTGATGCATGTTCTTTGGGGGGAGATGTTGGGGAGTCTCTCTAACTAGAGTCAGGCCTAGACTCTTGGGGTATGTCTATACTTAAAACAGTACCGCGGTGCTGCTATAGCACTTCAGTGTTAAGAATACCTAGAGTGATGGGAGTGGTTATGACATCAGTGTAGGTAATTAGCCTCCCAGAGAGGTGGTAGCTAGGTCGACGGAATAATTCTTCGGTCTACACCGGAGTAGGTCATACACATTTTTCACACCCCTGAGAGACATAGCTAGATCAATGTACATTCCTAGTGTAGACCAGGCCTTAGTACAGAGTTGCTTCCTGGGAACTGACTGGGATCTGGGCTGACATTCACGAATGGGGGGATTGCCTATGTGGTGTTGTTTGTGACCACCTCTGTTCAATGACTGGCATATAGAGTGTAAATGGACAAGTTACACTAAGAAAATATCTAGACTCCATATTACTGATTTCTACTCCAATGGGAAACTGACGTGCAATGGCCTGACATCTGCTACCACTTGGCAGAGGGAAAACAATATTTAATAATTTTTTCAAAATAAAATTGTATTTGAACGGCAATATTTAAATTTGACTTCAGGTCATTACTATAAGAGAGAGACAATCAACCTGGAACTCTAGAGCCCTGAGTCTCAGTTATACAAAGGCCATTTTATGCTAGTCTGGCACCATAAAGGGCCTGAAAGTAGGCAGAAACAGCCTACTGAGAATCCCTGCTCTTCAAAGATAATCCTACAGCCAGAGTACTGCTGGCGTTGGTGGCTCTATTCCCAGTACCTGATGGAGGGGGCATAGCTAAAGTGAACTGCACTATAGCTGTTATCTATTTCCTAGGGCCATTGGAAGCACACTATAAGCTACAGCAGCCCTGAGGTCCCCTAATTTGTGCTCCCTCTCACTAGTTGTGCCATGTCTAAATTCTAGTTTGGTGACTCCTTGAGGCAGAGGCCAGCCTGACTAGATATTGGTTCTGCAAGTCAATTAGGATATTTGGATGTAGCATTCAAAACAAAACAAAACTCTAAAGACTTAAAGATGCATGAAATCCCTTGACTCTTCTTTCAGTTTTTGTTTTCTAGTTCCTGCAAGGGAGAGAAGTGAAGAAGCAGTTGGTGGGTTTTTTTTGTTTGTTTGTTTTTTTAAAAGACCAACCAATTCAAACTCTGGCTTCATCCCACAGATCCTAATAATTTTTAAATTATAGATTTATATCATCCTCTTCCTTGATGTCTTTTCTAAGGTTCTGATCCTACTGCCAGTGAAGTTAATGAAATCTTCGCCGCCAACTTCAACAGCAGCAGAATTAGTCCAGGAGTCGTGAAAATCTTTCACCTAACAAGGAGTCTCAGCTCCATTCTTGCCACTGCTAGAAGGAGCAATGTAAGTACTGGGGCATTTTATGAGAACTAGCAGCTAAAGCTCATGGCTCTTTCCATGCTCTATTCTAGAA